AAGTATTTGAGGTTGCTGTGAGCTATGACGTCACAGCAATCTCCCGAGAGCAACATAGTCTATCTCAAAAACAAAAACAAAAAAATTTCCTGTAACTTAGGGGATATATCCAGACATTAAGATCCAGGAGGCTCCAGTGTTCTCAAAAATAGAAAGGTTCTCTCTGAGGCACACCTAGTCAAAATGTCAAAAGTTAAAGAGAGAATTCTAAAGACACCAAAACAAATGTGTCAAGTCATCTACAAGGGCTCTCCATTAAATTAACAGCAGATTTATCAGCAGAAACGTTACAGGTCAGGATTGAATGGGATGATATGGTCAAAATGCTGAGAGTAAAAACTATTACTCAAGAATGCTATACCCAACTAATTTATCCTTCAGAAATGCTAAACAGTCTCCAGACAAGCAAAAATTAAAGGAATTCATCACCACTAGACCAGCCTTAAAGGAAATGCTTAAAGGAGTGCTGGGTCTGGAAGTGAAAGGTTGACACCATCATGCAAACATGGGAAAGTATAAAATTCACTTATAGAACAGACATACAAACGGAAGGAGAAAGAATCGCACCCTGTCATGACAGAAAACCACAAAACTGCAAAAATAAGTAATAAAATGAAAAGAAACAAAGGAAATATAAAACAACTTAAAAGACAAAATGACAGGAGTAAATTCTTGAGTGTCAGCAGATTAAATTTCTAATTTACAAGATGAAATGGTTGAATAGTAAAACAAGACCCAATTGTATGATGAAGAAACTCACTTCATCCTAAAGACACACACAGACTGAACGCGAAGAGTTTGAGTAGTAAAAGAGGGCATGCTTTTCTAATTCCAGTTACTAGAGGGAAAGTTTCAGCCTTCTCCATTCAGTACAACATTGACTGTAAGTTTATCACATATGTACTTTATTTAAGTATATTCCTTTTTTTTTGGTTGCAGTTTGGCCAGGGCTGGGTTTGAACCCACCACCCTCAGTATATGGGACCAGTGCCCTACCCACTGAGCCACAGGTGCCACCCCAAGGTGATGGGTTCTTGAATTAGCTTGGTTGTGGTAATCTTATCATTTTGCCATGTATATATGGTATATTGAAACATAAAGCTGTACACCATGCTCCCACCCACACACAATTTTTATGTAAGTGATATCACAACAAAACTGTTAAGAAAATGTGGTATGTGTATAAAATGCAATGCTACTCATTCTTTAAAAAGGAAGAGATTGTACAATATGTGACTACTTAGATGAAACTTGAGGACATTTTGCTAAGTAAAATAAGCCAGTGCCAGAAAGACACATAGTACATAATTCATTCCACTTATATTTAAAATGGCTCATAGAGTCAGACAGTGGGTTGTTGGTTACCAGGGCCTGTGAGGAGGCCGAAATGCAGAGTTACTAGTTTAAAATTTTATTAAAGAAAGATGAACAAGCTGTATCTACTGTAAAATATTTTAACTGTAGTCAATACTAATGAACCCTTAATTTTTTTTGGCATCAGAGCTCATGTTAAATGTTTTTATCTTTTTTGAAGTCAGCAATCTCTTGGGGCTTCCGCTAATGTTGAGTGAGGTGCGTAGACACCTCAGTGCCTTTCTCTCAGTGTCTTTTTACCTGGAGTAAGGAATGCAGACATGGAGAGTCACCACTTTTCTTCCTGCTTGAACATTTCTATCTCCATCCCCAGTGGGCTTTTTGGTCCCATATTAGCCAGTGGGCTCATGCTGCTGGGCACAGGTGCACCAGCCTGGATCAATGAGGAACTGAGCCTTCTTGTTGGGGAGGATGCCAGATCCACCCTGGCCTCACTGGCCGCCCTCTGGCAGCTGTCATTGATATCTTTCTGTTTCCCAGATGTGAAGATCTTCTTGGTATCATTACTATCTTTACTGGAGTCCTCTGGTGATTCTGAATCACTGCAGAATTAAAATCCATATTCAGTACGTCATTCACAGTTCATAGAAGGTGGATATCATCAGAAATGGTGTATAAGTACATCTGAAAATCCTCTGTTCTATGAAAGCAATGAGAACACTGGCAAAAACTGTCACAAGGTCAGAACTTTGGAAATGAACCAAAGATTTGCAACAATCTAGGAGTGTTTGTTTAAGAAAAGCAGCTAAATCTCAGGAAGAATGGCAAACCTGAAGTAGTTTTACCGTGTTCTCATCTTCTCATCTCCTCAGCTTCATGGCAACTTTGGAAACCAACAAATGATTAGATTACCACAACCAAACAATTACAGAGAAAACCAGTAGCCTGGTAGCCACTGGAGGGGTCAGACTGCGGTTGGTACTCTTTAAAGGCCCCATTCTCAGGAGAGTTTCATTGTTTGACCTGTCTGGAAGTTCCATGGAAAGCCCCACTTTAAGATGTGTCTTTATTTGATCTAACTCAATGCCAAGTGTGAACGCACTTGCAGAAAATAATCAGAGGCAGTTACTATATCATCGCTGCCTTAGGCAGTGATAGCATTTGAGGAAAACAACAAGATAACCAAAAAACTTGAAGGAATGACATATCCATAGAGTGCTTTGAAAAGCTCTGAGAAAATTCTAGGAATTTGAGAAGACCATGATCATGTAAAATTAGTTCAGAAAAGTTACTAAACAAACAACATAAAAAACAATCAGCAAAAACAGCAGTCTCTGATAGTGGGCAGGGGCCGGTAGGGAAATCTGATTCCCCGTGTGGCCACGTTAAATTATTCAGTTCTCAATAAAAATGTATGAGACATAGAAGAAAACAAGTGTAGTTTTTCTACATGCAAAGCAGGCGATCAACAGAAACTGTTCTGAGGAAACCTGGACGTTGGTCTTCTAGACAAAAGCTTTGTCAGCTATTTTAAACGTATTCAAAGGACGAAGTACCTCCAAATAACTAATGGAATCTATGAGAACAGTTTCTCACTAAATATAGAACACCAATAGGGAGACAGAAATTATATTTGAAAATCCAATCAAACAGAAATTTCTAATTTGAAAAATACATAATTGAAATGAAAAATTCACTAGAGGGGCTCAACGGCAGATTTGAGCAGGCAGAGGGAAGAGTTAGTGAAATTGAAGCTAGGTGAGTTGAGATCATCCAGTCTGAAGAAAAGAATGAACAAAAGGATGAAGAAAATGAAGAGGGCCTCAGAGGCTACGAGACACCATCGGGTACATCAATGTACGTATTGTGAGCGTTCCAGAGGAGAGGAGAGAGAGGAAAGGAAGAAAGGATGTCTGAAGAAATAATGCCTGAAAACGTCCCAAAGATTTTCATTAACCTACATATCTAAAAAGCCTACTTTACTCCAAGGTGGATAAACTCAGAGAAACCCATACTGACACACATTATAACTAAACTGTTCAAAGCTAAAGATAAGCAGACAATTTGGAAAGTACCTGGAGAAAAATGATTTACCATCTCCAAGGGATCTTACACAAGATTGCCAGCTGAATTTTCATCACAACTGAGGGTGGTCAGAGGCAGTGTGATGGCAAAGTCAAAGGCTAAAATGAAAAGATGAGAATTCTGTACCCATCACAGTGACAGCACCTGCTCTGCCCTGGGCCTGGAGCCTTCTCATCTCCGTGCCTGTGTGCCTCCCTCCCGCCTCCCCTGCTTACAGCACACAGAAGTCCATAACTATCTTGCCTGCTTCAATTTTCTTCATACTTATGGGTGTTACCTTTGACCTGCTCTGGATGTCTTTGCTTTCCCTAAATAGAATGGGACCTCTGTGAAGGCAGGGATGTTTGAATCATTTGTTCACTGCTAAATCCCAAGCACTTAGAACAAGGCCAGCACATATAGTCCTCATGAGCAAGTGAATACATGAATGAATGAATTATGATATTTAAATTGTTGTAAATTATTATAGACTGTTAGTGAGCTCTTACTAGTTGCAAGGTATGACCTGGACTGTAGTTTTATTCTCATTTTGCTGATGAAGGACAGATATGCAGACCACTTAGGCAAGTTGTTGTGGTCCTGTTGCTGCAACTGGCAGAGCTGGACAGTTCCCTTGGAGTCCCAGCTCTAAGCCCATCTCCCCTCCTGGGTGTTTCATGTATGTCTTTTGGATAGGGGTGTTGGGAGTGGTCTGAGTTCAGGAAGTCCCAAGTTAGAAAAAAGCTGAGAACGTATTGAAAAAAGGTGAAAAATTGACTGTGACCTTGTTAAGAGGTATCCTAGAGATAGAAAATTTTTCCAAACAAAAACTTATGAGTTTTCTTCATTTCTCTAATATTCTGCAGACAGCATGTTTTCATTTTATAAGAAGAGGAAATAATAGAGAATGTATTTTAAAAGTCTTGTTAGCTCCAGAAAAAATAGTTCTGTTCTGTGGGTGGACCTTGTGTTGTTTAGGTTGACTGCAGTTCTGTGTTAAATGGACACCTGGTATGTAGAGGCACAAGAGAATGTATTTCCTGCCCTCACTGCAGACTGAAGGGTGAGGTCAAAGACACCATCCCTTTCCATGGTGAAGCTTTGACACCACCCCAGGGCCTCGTGGCCACCTGCCTTCAGATGGCAGAAGGGGAAGAACGGAGTATGGAGCATTTAAAAGCATGTGGCTTCTGCCCAGGGCTGCTTGTAACCTTCCCAGGAAGGAAAGACAGGTCTAGTGGAGATTGGGTGGTCCACCCTGTGTGGAGTGAGGGATCAGCCTAGGGGATGATGGCAAGCTCTGAAATGGCCCCACCATTTACTCACCCTGTGGATGTCCTGTGGCTTTTCTGAGCCTCCGTCTTCTCCCTTATAAAATGGGAACAATTCCAGCATTTCCAGCCTGCCTTGAAGATTAAATGGGGTAGTTTATGCTACAGTGATTTTTAGATATAAATGTCTAAAATATAAATTGGGAACAATTCCAGGCATTTCCAGCCTGCCTTGAAGATTAAATGGGGTAGTTTATGCTACAGTGATTTTTAGATATAAATGTCCATACTACTGTAGGGATTCTTTCCTAATAACCGGGAGGAGGGCCCTGGCACCCCTTTCTCTTGCAGCATCCTGTTTGCAGACATCGTGGGCTTCACAGGCCTGGCCTCCCAGTGCACTGCCCAGGAGCTGGTGAAACTCCTCAATGAGCTCTTTGGCAAGTTCGACGAATTAGCCACAGTAAGTGCAGTGTTTTGCTTTGTTCAAGTTAAATCAGAATCACTTCTGGAATCACAGTATGTCAGATGGACTAGGCTGATTGCTAAGCAGTTCTTCTGTCAAGGTTACAAATCACCAAGTGCTTTTAGCATTACTGCTTGTTGATTCTTTTCCTTGTACCTGAGACTTGTATTTACCGGATAGGAGAAGGCTTGCAGGAGCACAGCCGCATGCCTGCGCATAACGGCTTCCAGGTATGAGGCTGTTGCACGGGCCACACGTAGATCCAGGTCTGCCCTGGGTGCCACCATGCTGTCTTCGGCCCCGTGGCAGAGAGAGGTGGAACTTGCAGCCCCTTGTTCTGCAGCAGCCTTGGCTTCTGGAGCAGGCCTTGTTGTGGGCCCGCTGCCCTCCTGGTGTTCAAACCTGTCTATGAGCCAGGCTGCTAACCATTCCCAATGCTGGGCGCTGGCAGCAGCTGCCCTTGCCCTTGGCAGGTTGTGTACTAGGTTTTTAAAGACCGTCCTGAGACTGCTCACATCTGCCAGCTAAGACTTGCTGAAGGTTGGGCCAAGGCCGTGCTGTTTGGATGCTGAGACAGACAAGCCAGCCAAACCTCGGTGTGTGGCAAATACTCCCTCAGCTGCTGTGGTGCTCCTTCCTATTGTGGGCCCTGGTCTGGGGTCTTGGAACCCCTTTGCACTCCTGAAACTCAGCCATGTGGGCCATGGGCCCTCAAGGAGCTGCTGGTGTCACATCTTCTCCCCCTGGGTCTGGGGCGCCAGTTGCAGAAGCTGAGAGACTGTCACGCCCCAGGGGAGCACATGCTCTGAGATACCAGTATCACCCTTCATTGCTCTCTAGTGCTGATGGGGCATTTGGGAGGAATTGTCCTGCCCACAGCAGCCTCCCCCAGAGCAGAAGCTAAGAACACACCCTTTCAGCAGGTGGCAGAAATCTCCCTCTCACCCATTTATCTGGTAAATCCTCCCTGGGATTTCACGCCTCTGTGCAAGAAGCACTTTCTTCCAAAGGACAAGGGCACAGCCCTGGGAAGTCTCTCTTTTCTGAGGAAGGAAGGGGAACAGAGGGTCAGGGGTGGAGGGAGCCACCTACCCATCTGGGACACCCAGTGTTCCTGCCCTGAGAGGGCACGGGAGGAGCACAGTGAAATGGAGCCAAGTTCGAGCACAGTCAACCTGGTGGAGGTTGGTGGGGCACTGGGGCCGTGTGAAAGGAAGGGGCAAGGGGGTCTGTGTAGCCAGTCAGCACCTTTCTTGAGTGAGGCAGCAATGGGAGCTGCTGGGGGAAGGAGTGGATTTCCCCTCAGTGAAGGGGAGAAGGACACACCCCTGCCAGGGTCTGGCTTATGCAAAGAGCCCTGCATATTGTTCTGAGCTCAGGGCAGGCCTGAGTGTGGGATGCCCCTGTGGGCAGAGCAGAGCCAGGTGTTGTCACTCTTGCAGCATGTGGCAGCAGTCTAGGGGACCCACTACAAGTGGAAGGAAACTGGGAGCCTGTTGCAGATACCTGGGGCAGGAGAACAGATTGAGGTGGGGGAGGAGGGCAGGCACAGGGGATTTTGGACACTTGTCCCTTTGGGAGGTTCCTGTGGGAAGTTCAGGGCTTGAAGTCGAGTCGCACACTGTCTACTTTTCTATCAGGTCCGGCAGCACTGCCTTTCTCATGTGGCACCCTGGCTGTCACCTGAGCCAGTGTTCTGCAGGACCCCATTTGGGAAAGCCTGTATTGCCTTTCCTGAGGTTGAAAGGCAGCTTTCCATTCAGGATGGGAGTGCTTTCTGGCCACTATGACATTCCTTTTGGGCCCAGGGGGCTCTGGTTGCAATGCCCATGCAGCCTTGTCTGGGCTGTCCCCTTGGCTTGTCCCCCTGGACTGTGGTTGTGACTGTCTTCACACAAGCTGCTCTTGCCCTCTGGGACAAGGGCACTGGGGTCTTTCTTCCTGTCAGGCACAGCATAGAGGAGGTGGTAGGGTGTGTGTTTGTGGCCTGTGTCCAGTGTGTGTGTGACTCACAGAGGGCAGAGCTCCAGGCCCTCTGCATTTGGATCAAACAGTGTGCTTTGCACGGAGGCCCAGGTGCGCCTAGGCTCCCAGGAGGGACTGATAGCTGAGGGCTCACACAGATGCTGCGAGTGGCATTCCTGGGCCTGCTTTTTGCCTGCTCCCCTCCAACAGATAGCAGATCATCTCAGGAGCTTCTGGATGAAGGGCCTTTGCTCTCTCATGAGCTTCCACTGGGCCCTCCATCCCGACCATACCATCCTGTCTTCATGGCAGCCCTAAGGTGAGCATCACTGTCTCGAGGAGACAGAAGCCATGTTCGGTCAGCCCAGGCCCCAGTGCTGCCCTGCTGGAGACTCCCCGGGCCTGTCTCTGTGGATCCTCTCTGCCCAGCAGGGAGCTGGATGCCTTTGACCATCACTCACCTGGCTGGCGGCTGAGGCTGCCTCAGTAGGGTTTCTTCTGGGCTGTCCTGTGTGCGTCCGCCAAGTGTCTGAGCCTCTTGGTATATAATCCCTGCTTCCCAGGGCAGGCAGTAGAGACCCCCAGTCTGTTCACTGGCCCAGCTCCTTCTGCTGTGCTTTGCTAGTCAAAACAGGAGCAAGGCCTGTCAGATTCCAGGGCTGGAGAGACAGACCCTCCTCTTAACAGGAGGGCATGGCTAGGAGGGTTGCTGTGGCTACTCCTGGAAATGCCATCTGTATTGTCCTTGGGGCACATGAGGGGCTGTGGGGCTCCATGTTCTCTTCCTCTTCATCGGCTTCAAACATGATTCTGGCCCTCTTGCTTTGCTGTTTCTTTCTCTGGTAAAGAAGTGCTGGTGTGGCTGCCAGGAGAGGCTGAAGGTGTCACCAGGAGCCACTGCTATTTGTGGCACTGTGCCATTACTGCACTCCTAGTCCCCGGCATCTGCTGTTCTGTTATATCTGTACCACGGCCCAGCAGGCATGGCCTGGGCTCTCTGGACCCTCTCAGGGCATTACGTGCTCATGCATCTCATGTTTCCATGTTCCAACAGCTCCTCAAAACCTACTTAGCTCTTTTGCCAGGACACTGAGTCATGTCAGGGCACTAGCCCACACCTCGATCAGGAAGCATGCACATGCTTCAGAGAGTGAGGGATGCTCATGGCGGGGACATGTGGCAGGTCGGGGCAGATAGAGGGAGAGGTGTTGGGCTGAGCGAGTGTGTGCTTGTACTTACACGTGTGAGTGAAATATGAACATGCATGTGTATATGCATGCGTGAATGCAACGTATGTGAGCCTGTGTGCTGGCATCTGCATATGCAGCTGTGTCTATGTGCCTGGCACAGTGCAGGAGACATGAGTGTATACATGTGTGTACTGCATATGCTTGATTGTGCATGTACACATTTGTGTGTCCCAGTGGGTCTCTGTCCTCTCTCTTGGGGATGTTTCTCTTGGTATCCTTTGGCAGCACAAAGTGCATTCACCTCATGAGAAAAAAATGAGCTGACGTGATTGTGTGTCAGGGGACTCTGTCCTTTGTTCACCTTCCACATATACACAGATGTGTGTGTTGCAGACACTTGATGAAACACAGGGCCTTGCACTCTGAGATCCACCTGCCCACTGACCTTTGCAGGATTGAGGTGTTACCCGACTTCCAAGAGGAGGAGACTGAGGGTCAGGGAAGACCAGCTACTTCCCACATCCTGCAGCTGCTCAGTGGCTCTGGACCTCTCAGCTTCGAGGAGAGAGGTCTCAGCCTGGGACTGTCTGACTTGATCTGTGAAGGGCAGTCAGTAACTGTTTGAGGCTTTATGGGTTACAGGTAGTCTCTGTCACAACAAGCTCTGTGACTGCAGCACAGAAGCAGCCACACAAATGGAGAAATGTGTGGTTGTGTGCCAATAGAACTTTACGAAAAGCATGGGTGGGACCACTGGTCTAATCCAAGGGGCTCTGAATGGAGTTTTGTTTGTTCTAAGACACCTCGTGCCTGCCCAGCAGCTGGGTGGCGGAAGATGTGTCAGCCTCTGGGTGGTGGGGTGCCCTGGGAGTCAGCTCCTGACCAGGCTCTGCTGCTGGCTGCCCTTGTTCCTGCGGGCGCTGTTTCCAGATGGCAGAGTCTACGGCGCTGGGCAGAGACCAAACATACTATTACCTCTGTAAGGTGCCTTTAAGTGACCCTTGAATTCTGCCAGCCAGGAGCTCCAGAAGGAACACAAAGGACAGAACTGTATGGGCAGTCCCTGGCTGACCAACCCCCCAGCAGCATAAACAGCATTTCCAATAGTGTAAACCTGCCAGATAACAGCATTACCAATCATGTAAATTACTGGGTACCAGCATTCCCAATAGTGTAAACCTGACGGGTAACATGCCAGCTCATTTTCCAGGAGCATTTGGTTTTAGGCTGAAGAGAGTATTTCCTAGTTTTTAGAAACATTGTTATAAATGGGATCCCTCCGGGTGTGAAGCTGAGGAGATCTGGATTAGGGACCTTGCCAGCCTGGTGGAAGGAGGATGAGGCCTTGTCCAAATGCACTAATGCTACCTCAGAGTGACTGGCCTCAGGGTGCAGGGGGCCCCCTTCCCCATAGTGTGTGGGTGGGTGGGTGGGACACATATTGGCCCTCACTTGCTTTACAGAACTAGGCAGCGGGGAGGGATGGTCAAGCAGACACAGGTACAGGAGGCGGGGATGTGGTGAGTGTGGGTAGATTTGGGCCTGTTTCTTCTCTTGATTCCTGCCCTTAAAGTTGGGGAGAACCATCCAAGCCTGGGTTGGAAATTTTGAGTTGCCCAGCACCATGCAGTGTGGGAAGGCTCAGTTGGGATCTTTGTAACATCCCAGCCAGGATATGATGTCATTGTCATTCCGTGTAGGAGTGAACACAGTGAGGCTCCTGTGGGTAACACAGCTGCCTGGATTGGGCAGCCTGCCTCCAAAACCTGCCGTCCTTCTATGCCCCCAGGCCATCTTCTCTGTAGTGCCTTACGCTTTGTGCCTCTGACCTTTCTCTGGCTT